AGTTTCAATTCTCGTTTGTGATCAACAGCCAGGATGAATTTATAACGGCACAACATATCTTTAACAAACAATGTTTTTTTTTTTCTCTCATCTTGTTAAAGGCGACTCCTCGGCTCTGGGGAGAGGACTACATAGCTGAAGCATGTGACCTGAAGTGCTTTGTGGATCTACTGGAAGAGATGCTGATGATGAATCCGTTGGAGAGAATTACCCCCAGACAAATTCTCCAGCATCCGTTTATCACAATGAGCCATTTTGAAGGTCGATTCAATAACAGCTCCTAGTAAGTGTGTGCTTAGATGGTCTGTGTACATCTGTGCTGATAGATACAGGTAAAACATATATGAGATAATAGGAGATTAAGGTGTTTGACTCCGTAGTTTAATTTGTCTTCCAGTGTGAACTCATGTAAGGACCTGATGAACATCTGCAAGGATCAGACCTCTGAGAATGGAGGAAGCGGAGACCAGACCATCCAGCAGACGTCCCAGAACAAGGACTCCTCCAGCAGCCCGGCCGAGGATGGGAGCCACGCTGTTATGAGGCATGAGAAGATTGCCTCCACCATCGCTCGGGCAAAAAAAAGAAAATTGACAGAAGAGTGTGGCAACAGGTGGGTGTTTRAAATATCTCCCTGTCTTGATCATTTTAAATTGTAGAAGACAGTTCAACATTTTGGTACATATTCTTGTTTTTTGCTCAGAGTTCATTGGGAAGAATGATAAAACTCTCATTAACTATGGAGCTGCCRCTGAGTGMATTTTACAATGTGCATTTTTTAAAATGTCAAACCACTGCTTTAAGATCAAGAGTTAAACAATGTTTTTATCCAACCTCACAGACCAGGTGGCTCCAAAGCCAAGAGAAGGAGGACTGGCAGTCCTAGAGGAGAAGAAAGACTTGAGGGTCTCGGTCAGAGGCAACAAGTCAGAAGCTGCCCCTCAAACTCAACAAAAGTTCATTCCTTAAAGAGGAAGAGGGACAAAGAGGAGGTGCCTGAGCTAGAAGAAACCTGCCCAGCGAAAAAGAGAAGGAAGGTCGCCAGGTGAAAGAAAACAGCAGTTTGAACAACTTGTGACAAATTAAACACTGGAGTGAGAACACTGAAGTGCAAAAACTCCATTTGTGTTTATCTGTATATATATTTCGTATCTGTATATACCAAAATGTATATATGTTGTAATGTGCCAGTTTGATTAAAAATTAAAAGATATGAAAAAATACACATTTCTCTGAAGAGTCATGATTAAACTTAGGACCTGTTGAAGCTCTTTACAGACTGAGGACACATTTACCTTCGTGTTTGGTTTCTGTTTATCTCCACCAAGGTGAAATCATGCTACTGTGGGAAATGTATGAGAGTTAGCTGCTTGAGCTCTCGGCCACCATACAATACCAATGGGATATTTGACATCCTGAACCAGGCTGTTTAAGGTCTCTTCTCAAAAACTAACCCGGCTGTCAGGTTCCCTTCAGGCCAAATATGTGCAACACATTTCAATAAAACCATGAGGGTGGGCTCGCAAGCGCCACACACATTCATAAAAGTAGCCTCTTCCACTCCCTGTAGAGGAGGAAGCAGTCCCCTCAGATCGGACCACATGAGGCCGCATGAGGCCCCCTGCAGACCACCAGACCTCTGAGGCGGCTACCACCTGCCTCTTCCCCAATGTTGGTGCTCGGGGCTCTGTCCGCACACTTCTTCCGCTTCGACAGCATCTCCAACATGTCCACCTCCTATTTCAATTGTATTTCCCCTAATATCTGGGAGGGGGAGTGTCTGCCCAACCAGGATGATGGTACACAGCAGAGTAGGACACTGGCAGAGGGAGGAACCATAGGCTGAAATCAATCTCAGCGATCATAGCTACTGCATAACAACACTCATGTTTGCTGGTTCTATAACACAACTGGGCGGCAGAGTAGAAATTTGGACTCACCCCTGCCAACTTCTACATACTTGTCTGCAAGTATGTGTGTGAATGATTCTGGACATTTACATGGCCGTAATCTGTAACATGTATTGCTTAATTTATTTATTTTACCCAGAACAATGTTGCTCAACAGGACAAACACTATATGACCAAACAGGCTACCTGTACAGGTTACCTGTACCTGCGATGAGGATGTAACTGTATAAGTTGGGGCATTGCAAAACTTGTAAATGAGGTAATTGCCTGGGGCCCCAAGCTGAGCAGGGGCTCAAAAGAGGGGCTGATAACTTTAATCCATTGCATTGTGTGAACCCCTTTAAATTCGTTGACTGGCTATCTCCTGGAGACTCAAAGGCTCCACTGGTCCAAAACCCCTGATGAGGCCCCTGATGCTACATACTTTTCTGTCAAAACTTTGTAATTTTAGAGGTTTGACAAAAAAATACTGGAACAGGAAGGGGTCAGTTCAGGCCCCCAAAGTCCCTTGACACGCTCCTTATTTTAAGACACATTTAAAACTAAATGCCACTCAATAGAGAAAATGGTACTTGTGCTTGTGTTTGGTTGTGTTGACTGAGCTGTCCACTTGATTGTTTACACTCCATATGCTTTAATCTGGCCTGCTTTAGTCTGGCCTAAATCTAAAACCTTCAGATTTTTGCTNCATTTACCTTCGTGTTTGGTTTCTGTTTATCTCCACCAAGGTGAAATCATGCTACTGTGGGAAACGTATGAGAGTTAGCTGCTTGAGCTCTCGGCCACCATACAATACCAATGGGATATTTGACATCCTGAACCAGGCTGTTTAAGGTCTCTTCTCAAAAACTAACCCGGCTGTCAGGTTCCCTTCAGGCCAAATATGTGCAACACATTTCAATAAAACCATGAGGGTGGGCAGTAGTGGGCTCACAAGCGCTGCACACATTCATAAAAGTAGCATCTTCCTCTACCTGTAGAGGAGGAAGCAGTCCCCTCAGATCGGACCACATGAGGCCGCATGAGGCCCCCTGCAGACCACCAGACCTCTGAGGCGGCTACCACCTGCCTCTTCCCCAATGTTGGTGCTCGGGGCTCTGTCCGTACACTTCTTCCACTTCGACTGCATCTCCAACATGTCCACCTCCTATTTCAATTATATTTCCCGTAATATCTGGGACCTGCGATGAGGATGTAATTGTATAAGTTGGGGCATGGCAACACTTGTAAATGAGGTAATTGCCTGGGGCCCACAAGAGGGGCTGATAACTTTAGTCCATTGCATGGAGTGAACCCCTTTAAATTCTTTGAATGGCTATCTAGGAAGATTTACTGATTTCAAGGAAGATTTACTGATTTCAAAATTTCACTATGCTCTGCTTTAGTCCAGTGGTTAAAGCACTTGCATCATGTGATGTGAGTCTGAGACTAGGTGAGGATGGGTGCTTTTGCTTCACCTTTTGACAATTTAAATTAAAATGAAAATAAGCCCCCCACCCCGCCATAGTAACTGGATATTACCAGGAAATATGTAATGAGCCTTTATTTTGAAAATAAGCCCCCTTCAAAGTAATAGGATGTTACCAGGCAACCTGTACAGAGCCTGTTTTTTCAAAATAAAACGCTAGAGATAGTTTACTGACCTAAAAAGGCTTGACTTTCAAAATAAAATACCAAGATGCTTACAGGATCCCAGGGAGCCGGAAAAAGACTGGACTTTCTAGATAAAACCCCCAGATAGTTACGGAATGTTCCCAGGAACCCTGAAAGATGCTTGATTTTCGAAATAAACCCCCCAAATAGTTAGATAATGTCCCAGGAAGCCTGAGAGATGCTGTATTTTCAAAATAAAACCCCTAGATAGTCACAGGAAGTTCCTAGGAAGACTAAAAAGGCTAGATTTTCTAAAGAAAACCCCCAGATAGTTACGGAATGTTCCCAGGAAGCCTGAAAAAGGCTGGACTTTCAAAAAAAAAAAACAGATAGTAACGGGATGTTACCAGGAAGGCTCAAAAAGGCTGGACTTTCAAAATAAAAACCCCAGATAGTTGCTTGATATTGTCAGGAAGCTCAAAGGAGGCTGGATTTTCAAAATAAAAAACCCAAATGGTTACAGGATGTTCCCAGGAAGCCTGAAGGAGGCTTAATTTATGAAAAATTTAAATTTAATTAAAAATCCCATGGATGGTGATCAGACCTTAAAACTGTATAACATGGTTTCTCTCTCTCTCTCTCTGAAATTGGTACAATCTCTCTGTCACCAACCTGGATCACCCATGATTATAAAATCATGCAGTTTTTCGAAATGCTGAAAATGTTTCTCTCTGAACGGAGCGGTGTCAAAAAGGCACCCATTCAAAATGTCTCGTTCTACATCAAATTTCTGCCAATAGTTCCCTTTTACCTAAATCTTACACACTGGACCTTTAAGGGCCGCAGTACTGGGAGTCACGAAGCGAAGCTACAGCAGGAAAGAAGCGTGTCCATCTGAGTACTTGCACCAAAGTGTGGTGCCATCAATGCATTACCAGAAGAGTTTACCAAGGTAAGGAGCTCACTATGAATATGCTCAAACCCTTTTCCCAATATGACTCCAACATAATGTTTTGGTATCAATATAACTTTGGTCTAATTTGAATCTTATCTGCCTTGCCAATGTCAAGTGAGTGTAGTTAAGTGTAGGAGTCTAAGGAAATTTTCAAGAATAACTAGAATTTCCAATTTCCAGTGCAGTTTCTGTGAACAAATTTCTACATATATTTTTTCCAGATTTATATGAATATCACTGTAACCTTTACCTTTGGCAACTGTCACATTTGTTTTACTTCAGTCCATCCTCTACTGCTGAGTATTGATTAGTTTTTGACTATTCTGATCACAATTTGATAATGCTTTAATGACACCTTAACATTTGAGTTGTTCCACCAACATAGTTTGATTAAATATATATGTGTGAATTGAAATGACTGCATTGACGGAAGAGAAGTGAATCTGCTCTGTTGCGAGTCAGACATCAGCTATTTGACCCATGTGATGTGTGGCAGCAGACTGCTCCACAGAGCCGCTCAGAAGGTTTGCAATGTGAACTTCCTCAGACATCAGACACTTCCTGAAAATACTCTCAGGTCACGTGACTAACGTTGTCGGTGGAACTTCCTGTTATTAATTCAAAACTCTAAACCGGAGTCGTTTCTCATTTTTCCCCAGTGTCGGGAGCGAGTTTAATAAAATTTTCAAGCGTGAGTTTGTCCAGTTGTTCAACTGCTGCCGGAACCAACCGGGGTCAGCCGAGGAAACCTGTCAGCTAATGCTAGTTGCTCCTGCTAGCTAGCTGCAGTATTTACCTGACGGTCCCGAGGGGCTCCACACCTCTGAACGTCTCCGTGTGTCTGTGGGGACAGCTGCGACCCGTGGGTCTCTTTAGTGATCGAGCTTGAACAGACCGGAGTGTTTTAGGTCGAGAACCAGCAGCGGGTGTTCACTTCCAATATGACCATTCTGTTGTCAATGCCATGCGTCGGTTGCCTGAGAAGAAGCAGAGGTCTAGTTCTCCTCAGGACCGCAGCACTGGGAGTCCAGACGCGGAACTACAGCAGGAACGAAACGTCTCCCCTCGAGTACCTGCACCAAAGTGTGGTGCCATCGATGCATTACCAGAAGAGTTTACCGAGGTAAGGAGCTCACGCAGTTTACTCAAGTATTCATTTCCAATGCGGCACTGACACGTGGCTTTATTAGCAACAGAACTTTGGCCTAATGTGAATCGTATCTGCCTTGATAATGCCACGTGCATGGAGTGAAGTTTTACCAGGTTTAAACAGGTTTTAGATGAATGTAGGTGAAAGTGCACTATTGTCTTAAGCTCGGTGACCTCTAGGGGGCGGTGACAGGACTGACCTCTGCAGTATACAATGTTTGTTGTTTTAAATGATCTCATAAATGATTATCAAATATTGGG